GGCGGTGAGACATGTTAACACTACAAAAAACCAACTACAATAGGTTGTAATTGAATTAATTTTCCCCTCTCCTTATTGATTATTATAAACATATCTGTACACATGCATATAATAATTAGTGATTACATCACATGAAATTGCCTACCATAGTAATCAAATATATTAGATCAAATGTCTCTTGCATACCTGGTGTGACAGGTTTCTTTCTTATGGTAGAGACTTTTCCTGCTCCAGGAGTGCCTGGCAGTGAAGTATTAATTCCAAGAGGAGGGGGAGGAGGAGGGGGAGGGGGAGGAGGAGGGGGAGGGGGACAAGCAGAGGTAGATACTCCTAAGAGTGCTCGGGGAGGTTGAGGGGGAGGAGGAGGGGACAGGGAAGGAGGCAAAGGCAAAGAGGGAAAACCATTACGACAGGATGACTTCCCTGATGGTGCTGCAGAGGGGGGAGGAGGTGAAAACAGCAGAGGTGTAAAGGAAGTACAAGAATAATCTGAAGGAGAAACACTATCACCAGATAAAGGATATGTTAGTGGAGAAAAGTTTAGATTAGAGTCATTTGTTTGAGTCAAAGGGGGAGATAGTGAAGGAGAATCAGTTTTGCATTCATTTGAAAAGGGAGATAGAGGGGCGAGGGAAGGCTCTTTTGGAGGACACGGGAGTGGTGGAGGATGATACAAAAATTTTGATGTACTGGGGCTTGATGGTGGTGTCCTAGTAGCTGGCAGGCCTGCTCCAGAATGCATTTCACAGCCAGCTGCTTTCCTTGATAAAAGAAGCTGAGAACAGCAACAAAATCTTCAGCATAAATATTGTTTACTTATAGAACATTTTCCATGGTCAATAAATGACTATTGAAAGAGTCACTAAGTTTAAGTCTAATATACTTAAACAGAACACAGTAAAGAAGGGCAACCTTAGCTATTGAAAAATAATATTCATGTAATATAAATATATCATTTAACCTTGTTTATGGTACCACCCAAAAAACATACACTTTGACCATCAGAGACATTCAACTTTTAAACTACCATCAAAACAATCAATGTTCATTTGATAATTAAAATGAAAATGTTGCATTTTCACACATACTGTAAATTTCTTAGTGAACTTTACCCAGTTTAGGTTCTTTATCTTAGCTACATGGTCTTCATTCCATGTTCTGGGATCTTGGTGTTTGTTTTGAAGGGTCTTCATGTTTAGAGATATCCAATCTTCACTCTTTATTTTCTTGGTATTTGTTTTGTTTTGTTTTTTCTTTCACTTTTTTTTTTCGGTGTGATACCTTCTTGTTCAAGGTACAATAATTGATAGTCTGAGAAAAATGCTCTCCTCTTATATGGACATTTCCCACATCTGAGATCAGTGCTCAAGAAGTTCAAACTAGTTCTGACAGTAGATTATGAGCCATGTCATTTATAATGGAAAATTTTGTTTGTGCATATAATTGATGTAATAAATTGAATTATGAAATTAAAGAAACTTATTTCATGAGCTGTTCACAACACTATTCTTTGTTGATTAAGTATTTTAAAAAAAGAGTTCTAATACCACCATCTTTGTTTTCTACATAAACCAAAGTCTTGGGGGTACAACAGGCCTCTCCCAAGGTCCCCTCTCCCCCAATTTCACTCACCATGAAACAAAAATAACAACAATTGAAAAGTGGCAATTGATATTCAGACACCAGAAAAAAAATTATAAATCTTAACATCATTAATTTAATGGCAAACAACTGCCAAGTCTTCCTTTCTTGCACATTTGTAACTGATGCCAGTTTGTTTGGATTTTCCTTTAGACAGTTTATTTCTCTGGCTTGTTTATTTATCAGTTTCACTGGATACATTTTCTGGTTACCTAATGTGGGATTTTCTCAAATCCTTCAGATTATAAAATTGAGAGATCTTGGTCAGCTTACAACAACAACAATGCCTTTCAACAACTCCAAAAGAAAAGACCAAGGAAGGTTTGATTTCTCTTTCATTCAAATGAAATATACCATGGAAGTTTTAGGTCATATTTTATCAAGATCAATGATTTAGAGTGCAACCACTTTAGGTTGAAGGAGATGAAGTCTTTCAGTAAATAGCTGGTGGAGTGCATGTAATTTCTTTTGCATTTTCAAGCAAAAGAGGGCAAGTGTAAGGCATGCTTAAGGAGAGCACAAAGGAAAAGTCACATGAGAAAGGAAGAGCAAGAAAAACAAAGCACCTGTCCCTGTACAATTGCTCATGTTCTTTGGCGTCCAAACACACACCAATTTCACCGAAAAATAATATCAAATAACAGCATTATATAACTCTTTTGGTACTTTTTTTTGCTACATGTACAATGAACAACCACTTTTTACTTAACTATGACAAGACAGTTCAATCTCTGGTGTAGAAAGTGCTAAGCATAGGTATCTCCTAATTAAACCTGCTGCAAATCTGCCTAAGCAGTACCCATGAAATTTCTTCCTCCAGAACACAAATGAGAATACCACAGAAATGTCTCTTGATTATGACATACATGTACATGCATTGTCCCAATTGTATCCAAAAATGACTTCAGCTGCTACTTATGCCAAAGAGGCATTGGGATTTTAAGATTTGGCTATTTTAAGATCGATTTTTTTCAATTTAAGGGCCCAAAAACTTCAGTTTCCGGTTTTGGTGTGCACTGGAACCTCTCTGTGCTCCACTTGTCACCACTGTATTGCATTAATTGTATTAGGGCTCTGAAAACTGACTGAATTTTTTTGCTGTTTTGGATGATTTTTTCTACAGTTTTGTGGTTTTTAATATACCCAATGCCCCCTTGGTGTTAAGGGGGCCAATGCCAGCCACCATGACATTATACAATTCCATTGTACAGTTGTAAGACCATTATTAGAATATCATACCCCTATTCTCCACCATAGCCTTCCAAATACCTTAATGAAGACCTCAAGCATGTTCAGAAAAGAGCCATGTCAATAATTGTACCTTTAGTTACCAGTTGTATCAATAATCCCTCGATAGCTATGGATTCAGTACTCTGCACGAAAGACGTAATGATTACTGCTCCAAGCTATTAGGTGACATCACCAATTTGAAAGATCACAGTTTCGCCCAACTACTCCCCCCACGTCATCAAGACTCATAGCTTTAGAAGCAAAAGAACTTTCAATCTGCCACGATTCCACACTTGCCATTTCAAGATCTTACTCAACCCAACCGTGTGCCATCAAAATTAATAGCAATGTCTCACAAACCACAGTGCTCTTAGCCAGTAATTTGTGCAGAGCACTTTATTTATGTAGAGACCCACTGTGAATAGCCTAGTTTTTAGCCTTGTTTTAATTGTAATATAATTATATATTGTAAATAATTATTCCATTCAGCCTTTGGCTGCAACTTAGTTATTTTTGTTAAACTATCTATCTATCTATCTATCTATCTATGGAGGTTAAAATAGTTTTTAATCCAGATTATACTCAAAGGTTTTTTCCAAATAGAATGGAGAAAAAAATAAACCAATCCAGCCAATCTAAAACAATTGATCACAATGGGAACGCGACTTACATAAGTCACAACGCAGACTAATCAACTTGAAGTAAACATTGATGATATATGAACCTAGAGATTGCCAAGCTCACCACTGAGTCTGATCTCTGGATCTGTGGCTCAACAATAGACAGTCGGAGCAACAGGTTCCGAATTTCTGAGGTTCGATTCTTCATGGGGACTTGAAATGTTTCCTCTGTCCTTTACTCGTGACAAGACGAAAAACTGCTACCTTCAAAGTTGATGAAATATTCAAAAACATTTTTTGGAAGGAAAAGCTTCTTTTCCATTTTTTTTTCCAAATGTTTAACTCAGTTCACCTTCCCATTTGCCTATTCGATCGGCGAAAAAAAATCCATCACACCGATTTTAGACAAAATCCCCTATCACGATACCACAGTTTTCTCCGCATAAGGAATTCGACGGTCTTATCGTTTATTTTCACAGATGTTCATGATTTTGGCTGGGCGAAAATTGAGTCGTAATAGATTACCACTTGGAAAGTTTAGTAGAATAGCCTTCTCTCGTGCTCCCACAAAACTTTCCTCGTGCATCCAATGACTCGATACTTCGTACAAACCAATTTTTAAGTAGGCATATACTCAGAGAAGAGGATGCATATAGCTAACCTGATCTTGAAGAGCCCCTGCAAAATGATTCGATAGATCCTGTTAAGGCAGCAAATATGAAAGCCATACGCAAAACCATCGCGAACCTCCCATTTTGCTTTGTCATGTCTGGTGATCAAACTCAGTGATCGCAGTATCTCTATGGTCCGGATATCATCGTGTTCAAGGTATCCCGGTACTCAGATTACAGGCGTTTTGTTGACCCAAGACACCAAACATGAACAACACACTAGGTAGATCGGCGAGTGGTTGGCAGAGCTCAAATTAATTTATGCAAAAGACACTTCTTGGGTTTTTGCAAAGATTTCTGGGATCGTCACAAGGCACACATTGCAACTTGCCAGGGGAGGGTCGTTTCGACGTCCGAAAAAACGAATTTGGAGAGAGATCAACGCTTTTTAACCGCTGTTTTATGAAAAATGGGTTATGATAATGTTGATACGTGGAAAGTGTAATTTTTTTAATAACCCCGAAATAATAATAATAATAATAATAATAATAATAATAATAATAATGATGATAATAATAATAATAAGATCACCGACTTGCTGTATATTGATGACCTCGAGATTTTCGCAGCATCAGAAGCGAAGTTAGAGAGGATTATGAAGGGAGTAAGGAATGCCATGGAAGATGTTGGCTTACAGTGGAATGAGCGCAAGTGTGCAGTGGTACACGTGAGGCGGGGGAGGCTCCAGGAGCCGGAGGAGAACGGGATTGGCGCAG